ATATAGTTTTTAGGACTTGTCCTGTTTTCTTCTTTAGGGGCTTACATTATTAACAGTATTTGTTGTCATTGTTTTTCAAATCCTTTCATTCTTTTTGATATTTCACAATTTCTTATTTCCCACCTTCTGTTTCTTTAAGGTATTACTTTTGTGTGATTGGCTCCTATGTTCCTTTTAGTGTAGTCTTCATTTCTTAATTTTTTTCTTTCATCTTTGATTCTTTCCTGAGTACTGTTACCTCATATCTGAGTTTTTCTAATTCTGATTTGTGTTATTCTTTCATGTTTTGTGTCATTATCTTTTAGCTTGTTTTGGAATAGCATGGTTAAAGTTTTTGTCTTATTTTTGGTGGGGGGCATGTCTTTCTGGCATGCTTTCTTTGTCTGTGGGGATGTTATTCTGTTCCTTATTCTCTTTTTCATTATAAAAACTGTGTAAGATTTTACCTCAATATTTTGTTGTTCATTTTATGTGAGGTTAATTTTTTTTTCTGAACCTTTGGATTGAAACAGGCTTCAGGCTAGCTTTTGTAACTTTACACAGCTGCTGCTTCTGTTGCTTTTGTGTGGTGTTTAAAAGTGTGCCTACTTATTTTCTGCAATTTCCCTCCCCACTTGGTCTAGACCTTCTCTATCTATGTCTCTTGGATCCCTCTTCTGTTGAATTTTGATTCCACTTCCAGAAGTTTCTTTTCTCTGTGGGGTTCTTCCCTGGAAAGGAGCCTACTGGATCTGCTTTGAAAGTTCACAGGGGTCTGGATTGTCCCTGCTCATTCGTTCATTTCCATCATGGGTCCTTTGCACACATCTAATAATCGAGAAGGTGAAATTCTCCCAATTTCAGCTGCTATTCTCACATTCATCCACTGTGCTTTCTTGTGAATCCTGTGGGCTGTTTTGGGGTTCTCCTGTCCTCAAGTCCTTCAGACATTATTCACTGCTTCACTCTTTTCTGTCCTGTCCAGTCTCTGATACTGTGAAGATCTGTGCTTGTTGCTGGTTTTTCCCCATCCTGTTTATATTTTAAAGTTTGTGCAGATATTATGTCATCTAGTTTTGTTGTATTTTTTTGGATTTATTTTCTAGTTGTCCTGTCTGGTTCATGTGTGGATTTGGAGATAGTGAAAATTATGCTGCCGCTTGCCACCGTCTTTCCAGAATGCCTCCCCATGTTTCTATCAACATATTAAAAAAAACATACACAAGCAGGTTGATGGCTGTAACAGTTTCTTATGCTGGAGAACAGAAAGGAAGATCTATTAACCAACACTGCTGCTTCCGGATGAGAAATCAAGAAAAGCCGCCACAATTCTGGTTGAAGCCCCCTTCAGCAAGAAGCCTGCTGTTTTACTTTTAATTTCATTTTGTTTTTAGTGCTTTAATTCTTGTTGACTTTGACTTTACTGTTCAGAATGTGACTGCTGCTCCTGAGCCTGGGTTGGGTACTCTTGCTGTTTCTTAGCATCCTTGGTTATGCCATATCTTTGAGACCAGGCTTTGAAATATTTTTAAAATGCATCTTGTTACCAAGTAGTGTCTGTTTGGGTTCCATCTGGCTTTGCTTTCTTATGATGCTTGTTCTATTTATAATGGGAGAGCTGTCACCTGGGCATTTTATCAACAAGCATCTTATTATGTCCTTTGTGCTTATAGTGTGAACAAAATGTAAGATATGGTCCTTCCCCTAAAGTGGTTTAGTTCATCTTGTCTGTCTTTGGTACTGGCGCAGGAGCAAGGGAACTAGTTTCTTGTGGACTTCCTTCCCCTCCGCTCTGACCCCAGCTCTTAAGTTACTTAAGCATATCTTGTAAGTGATACTGATGAAGATATAGTGCCGATTAGATGTAACTAGATCTTTGAGTTATAGTCCTGATTTGATTTGGAGTTTAGTTTTATGTTGTCATCACCAACTTCTAAGATTCTAAATGAAAGTCTGGATTAATCAACGCAGATCCTCATCAACTCGAGGAGCGTGTTTGCTCCAAGGGGTCTAAATTGCTATCCATGCTTATTTAGAGTTGCTGAGACGTGATGGTTTCTCTCCCACATTGTGTGTAGGGGAGCAGTCAAGGTAATTTGTAGCATCTTTCTAAGTGTACTTCCCACCATTTAAAATGTGACAAAAAGGCCAATACCGCTCTATAACTATATTTTAGCCTATTTTGGGGGCATAAAATTCCTTAGATGATTCCTAACCTAAAATTAATTTTCTTGCAACTTACCAAACAGATGACTTCTTTCAAAAGAGGAATTGATAATGGCCAGTTATGTCTGTAGACAAACCATTTATAGATTCCAGATGATTGTTTTCCTTTCAGTAGAGTGATGGGGAAGAAGATAGCTTGGGAATCACTCTTCCTGTTTCCAAACACCAGCTCCACCATTTTGTACTACTTATATATGTAACACTGGGCAGTTTTCAAAGCCTTTTTTGTGTCTCTATTTCCTCATATGTACAATGTGGCAGTAATGCTTCCTGTATCATAGGATTGTAATGTGACGATTAAATAACATAATACATCTATATGTTGGATCCTCTATTATTGGTTTAGTGAGTGAAAATGGAGTGTTTATGATTTATTGGACACTGTACTGGATAACTGGGATATAATAATGAGCAAGAATTCCTCCACTTGGAGTTTTACAGTATAGATGAGGGAACTAATTAATTAGTAATTACATTAAGGAAGAGCATTGCAACTATGATTCATGCAATGGAGAGGTATGAGACACTCCAAGAGCAAATAATAGGGACAAGAGCAATCTGGGAGGTGGGAGGTTAGGGAACGTTCCCATTGAAAGACTGAGTTAAGATTTCTTTTTTTTTGGTGAGTAAGATTCACTCTGAGCTAACATCTGTTGCCAATCTTCCTTTTTTTTTTTTTTTTTTTATTTTCTATGTGGATTGCTGCCACAACATGACTTATTGAGTCTTCTAAGTCCTTTCTTCAGATCTGAACCCGCAAACCCAGGCTGCTGAAGTGGAGTGCGCTGGACTTAACCACTATGCTATGGGGCCAGCCCCAAGAAGACTGAGTTAAGATTTAAAGAAAAATAAATGGGAATGAATTAGATGAAGGTGTGTGTTTGCTGCATGTGTGGGTGAGTACATGTAGGACAAGAGTGTCCCAGACAGAAGGAAGAGTGTGGAGAATAGCTCTGGGGCAAGAGGAGCTTGGTGAATATGAGGAACTGAAATAAGGCCATTGTGTGAAAGGAGGAGTACAATGGCCCGTGTTACTTGAGAAGAGCCTGGGGTGGGAGAGAGGGACGGAGTGGTCGCAACTTGGGGGCCTTTAAAGGCCGTGTTTAGGGATGTGGTCTAGCAAAATGATGTTAGGTATTTGAATTCTGGATAGAGACTTGCAATGATCTATTATTATTGTTGTTATCATTATTTTTATTCCCTAGCAGTCTTCCCCGTACTAAATATGTTTGTATACTTTAATATTTATTCATTAGTTCTTCTCCCAATCTCTATTATTTTTCTTCTCTGAACTCTTACTCCTCAATCCTTTCATTTAGAAATAAAGCTGAGAAGATAGCTTTGTTTACTTTCAATCAATTTCACTGATTGAAGTGGCGTTTGCTTTTGTATAACTTTAGACAAGATAAATAAAAAACAATTGCCGAAATGTTACCTGCTGTGACACATATAAATATTTTATTCTTAGCTTTTGTGAAATGCTCAAATGCTGTCATTTGCTATTTGTCTAAACAAGTTAAAGCCAAAATTATTAGAAATTTTGGTATCCCATGTTGGCGGGAAGCTCCGAGTGATTTCACATGTTTTCATCTTACCCAGAACCAACTTTTGGATATGTGAGGCTTGAGGCCAACTCTGTGTGAAAATGTAGGAGTTTGAAAGGTGGCTGTTATGTGTATCTGTGTGTGTGTGTGTGTGTGTGTACATGCACATGCATATTTTATGTTTGCTGATCTCCAATTGGTCAGTGATGAGCTAATGTGGGGGTTGTGAAACTCCCCAGAGATCAGGGCCATGACTCTTCCTCCTACCCTAAAATAAGTGAATGATATGTTATGTAGGCCATGTAAATAAAATTGTCCTGATCTTTACATAAAACCTGAGTAGCCCTGGGAGGCCTGGGGCTCATCCCATGATGCTCCATCAGCGTTATCATTGTTAGGCACTATTCCATGCTCTGTGTCTTTTCCTCTGTTCTCTAGCATACCTGTTATGTATAAAGGTGCTTGCCTTGGGATCCTATCTGGGATAGCAGTTGTTAATCATATTCGCAAATTTTTTTAACCACAACTATCACATATGTGTAATAAATTCACATTTCATGTAGTATGCATCTTCTCAGGAGTTTTCTGAATATGGCTATAAAACTAAAAAGTACTTTTAATGGTAGGAATTGTCTGTAGCAAGCTAGGTGATGTGTAGAATTTTGGATGCTGGGTTTGGGACTATGGGGGTCTGGATCCCCCATCATATCATTATTGCCGATAATTGCTTATTCCACAAGAAGCACAAACATAATGGTGAGCTGAGAAATCAGGTGAAGACTTTTACCTGTGTGTGCTGTACAAAAGTCAATTTTATTTCCTCAGGAAAAACAATTGTTTTAGTCCATATACTTCTCTATAACATATTTAATTTAAATAATTCTAGCTGAATTAATAAAGAAGCAAAAAAAAAGTTTTCTGATTTGACTCTGTACTTATATAATAGTTCATTTGTTTTCTATTATATAGTCTATTTGTTAGTTAATAGTAATTAGTTAATTGAGTGGACCTACTTAATATTTGATCAAAATGTTAAAATATTTGAACAAAGTCTTAGTGGTTGAGATTATTTTGTTTTATGTTGGGTTAATGGATTGTAGATAACTTATAGCAAGTGCTCTGGTAAATCGGTTCCTTACATAGAACATGAACCCCATATGTGCCGTGCTCATCACGAATGCCTGACATGTAACATGTAATGTCTGTTAAATGAACAAGTAATTATTCGAAAAAATATTATATGTGTTCCAGGACCTGATCTTCAGGTTTGCACATCCAAAAAACCTACATGTTGCACCAGGAAGATGGAGGAGAGATATCAGATTGCAGCTCGCCAAGATATGCAGCGGGTGCTTCAAACATCCAGCTCTACATTAAAGTTTCTAATATCTCGAAACGCAGCTGCTTTTCAAGGTAAATGTAGCATGGGTTCTGAAACTAAGGAGAAGCCTTGTTATGTAATTTGCCTGTTGTTATTATACTGGTAAACGTGGCTGGGTTTACTTCGTTTTTGCATATTATTTTGGTATAAAATGAGGTGTTAGCTTTTTCTAACCTTCAGAACTTGTTTCTGAGGTCATCCTGGGGCATATCTATTGAGTCAGACTGGGGAAACTGTTACGTTAGTGAAATGGTACTTGGAAATATCTCTCTTTCTGGGGTTCTTTCAGGTGCCCCGATATTCTGACCTATGGTTTTACTTCAATATGAATAGACATAATTCTTAGATTTCATTAAAATATTCTATAACATAAAATCTCATTGCTTTTAACTGGGTAGTTTTAGATATATTTTTAAAAATGTGATTTGAAGAAATATTTATTTAATTTTTCCCACTCCAACGTCATGTGGTTTTCATAATACCAGTGTGATATATATCAAAGTGCAGACAAGTCTGATAAATAGTAAAATAGACAATATTTATTGTATGTTTAAGGGTCAGCTAAGACCAGAACTCAAACTTAATTCAAACAGTATGTTCAGAAATAAAATTAATGGGTTATAAAGTTACAAGGCACATTGGAAAATAGGTGATCTTTTTCTTATTTTAGTCATCTCTTCTATAAAATTACTTATTACCACAATAAAATAGCTTAATTTATTTTTCCTTTTAAAAAGCATTAGCTATTCTGTATATGATTTAAAGGAAAGTATCTAGATTACACTGCTTTTCAAACAAATTTATTGTTTTTTTCAAAGCAAAATATAACTTCTGTTAGTATTACTTTTTCTTGAGTATGTTAATACCAATCTATTTAAATAATTTGTGCTTTGTTTATATACATAACTAAATCGCAAAGCTGATTAATTTTTAACCTGTACTTATAAAATAAAATAAATTCAATAAATCAGGATAAAATTTGAGTTAAAATGTAGTTCATAATGAATTGATACTTTCGTAGAAACTGAAATGTCAGATTTTAAGATTTTATTAATTTAGCGATTCTTAAAAGATGTTTTATTTCTCTTATGGGATTTATTCATGTGAAATTGTTGGAGGAATACATATTGACATGCCTTTTAAGCAAAGCTTTGTGATTTGAACTGGCAGAACTAGAACACTTTACCCACAGAAAGTGATGTAGTGATTTTTTTCTCATGAAAATGATAGCATGTACAATATGGAAAATACATTTTAGAAATAAGGTGCGGGGGGATGGGGCGATGAATAGACCAGTCTGATCAGAACAGGGAGTTGTGGACGGCACTTGTGGATCATATACTTGAGAAGGTGAGCTGGACTCATGTGGAAGAAGACTTAAAACATCAACTTGAGTTTAAGAGAGTCACTAGATTTTTGAATGAGGAAGCTTCATTATGGTTTCTCACCTTTTGTTTTTTTGAGGAAGATTAGCTCTGAGCTAACATCTGCCGCTAATCCTCCTCTTTTTTGCTGAGGAAGACTGGCCCTGAGCTAACATCTGTGCCCATCTTCCTTTACTTTTTATATGTGGGACGCCTGCCACAGCGTGGCGTGACAAGCGGTGCGTATGTCCGCACCCAGGATCCAAACCTGCCAACCCTGGGCTGCCGAAGCAGAACATGTGAACTTAACTGCTGTGCCACCAGGCCAGCCCCATGATTTCTCATCTTTTAATGTCAAAACTAAATCCCTCCAAGTAAGAATATATGGCTAAAGAAGATCGTGACAATCAAATCTACTTCTCTAGATACCAGTATTAACTATGTAAGTGACAGAAAGTGCCAACAGTTACTAACACATAGGCACTCAATGAATCTTAAACATTTTCTTCTGTCTTCAAAAATACTGTAACAGACTTTTAAGATATTTTTGGATAAATTGATCAAGATAGAACACAAGTTCAAAAGATTGGGAAAAATATAAAACCTGGAATATTTAGACTTTTAACATGGGTTTTGCTGCTGAAAAGTTTTGTGATATTGCTAAAAATTTGGTGACAACTAAATCAGTAGTAGAAATTCATGAGATTGTATCTACCAGAGCGTCAGGTAATATTATGTATACTTTTGTTATTTTCTGTTTAATAAATTGTACCTGCTGTATTCAGTAGGTTGAGTTTTGTTTATTTAAATATAAATTATAAAAAATTAAAAAGGTAAGGACTTTCTTAAATATGATTTGTTATAATAATCATTTTCTCCCTTTGTGGAATGCCAAGTTGTATTTAAGAATCATGAGAAGGCAAGACAAATTTAGAAGAAATTTGCCCAAAGGCTAACTTTACTGGAACAAATTCTCTTACAAGAAGAATACCTGCTTTTAATGTAATGAATAGAATAAGTAGCTTCAGGCTTAGTTCCATAAAAACAAGCTTAAATATATATGCTAAAAGCAATTTGAGATCACATTTATCGTACAATAACTAAGCAGCCTACTTTATCAATAAGTAAAATGCCCTCCGTCTAGTTTCTATGCAATCAGAATATCTGAAAACAATTCAAAGCCTTTATTTTTCTAAGAAGAGGGAAGCCAACACATTTTATTTAGAAACTTATTCTGCTGGAGAGAAACTTAATGGGGAAATCAATTCACTTCTCAAATGATGTAAGTAGATTTGCTAAATTTTGATCTTTTGATTTTTAAATATTTAATTTATATTTCCTACTCCAACAAGAGTAAGCCTGTTTTTTTTAGTGGTATGCTCGGTCATGAAAGATTGGGATGTAGTATGGTCCCTTCTCTTATGGATCTTATGGAATCCCATGGAAGCATGTTTTTGAAGCAACCTTTTGGATATGGCCAATGGGGATGCTTGGTTGGGTCTGTGGATTTAGTGGGCACATTACTGAGAGATGAAGGAATTTTCAGAGGAGAGAAGAAACAGTGCTGGCGATTGATGCTACAGGACATAAGGTCAACGTATGTACAATCCACATTCAGCTCTGGAATTCAGCTCTGGAATTCAGCTCTGGAATTCAGTCGGGGTATATACCAGTGGGGTTGGAATTAGCCTCCTGGGCAATGCTTCTACGTTTTTCTTTTAAGGAATTTATTGTTGTTTGTTTCAGTCATATTTCCTTAAAATAAAGAAAACAACCAGACAAAAATTTAGTTTTGGAAGGGACTTCCCTATAATTATGACCTGGGCCTTCACTATATCCGAAAGGTAGTCATTCATGCAGCATGCAGCATTTTATAAGACGAAGGGGACGAGCTGATATCCCTGTGTCTGTTGCTGTTCATGAATACATGGTGCTGTTTGCAAACAGGACCACTGGCTTTGTCACAGTGCAGACAATAACTGTTCTTCATTTTCAGGGGCTTAATAATGTTCATGAGTAAAGCACAGCAGCTTGAAATCATGCGAAAGATTTGTTTGCCATCAGCTGTTTTACTTGGAGTGTGGAATTTCCTGCTTTAAAAATATTTTGGAAATATTTTTTATAAATACTCTATTTATTTATACACTAAAGTGTGGTATGACTCATGAAGAAACAGGGGAAATTGACAGAGAATATGTCATCTACTATAAAAAAGCAACTCTTATCCAGTTTTCACATTTGCCAATTTTTAAATCTCCATTCAAATAAGATAATAGATTTTACTTTTTTTAATTTAAAACTATGCAAAATTTTCAGCATCACTTTCGAAATAAAATGAAGGAATATTTGGGAGAACACTATTGGAAGCTTGTGTTTTGTTTAAATGTTGGGAAGATAAGGTTAAGAAGTTATATCTTTCCTTAGAGAGATACTTTTCCTTGTTTCTCTCATCTTCAAATAGCTCACATATTTCTGAAATATGTGGTACATACTAAGTCTTTATTGGAATGTTCCAGTTTTATATATGGCATTTAAAAATGTACATTGTCACAAAACACTGAGTGATACATGATATTTAGAGCAGGAAAGATTTAATGTTTATCATTTCATTCTCTTGGCTAATTAAATTTTCATGTCTTGACTGTGAGTACTGCAAAGATTGGCAAGCTTGTCCTCTTGGGTTGAAATGTTAGATTTAGGAATTTAATAAAAAATATATATTCCTGTTTTTAATGAAATGTAGGAATATCTTCAAAATTAAATATCTTATTTTAAAAAGCAGATGAATTAAGAATGAGAATATAATGAATGGATTTTTCTCCTTTACACTAACAGATTTTGGCTACTGTTAAATGTATAGGTCGTGTCTAGCTACCATAAAACTAGTTTAAAGTGTGTGTGTGTATGTATATAAATATACAGTCAAAAAGCACAAGGATATAGTGAATATTTGAATATATTTATGTATAGGAGAGTAAATAGATTTGTATAACTGTTATAATATTAGGCATGGAGTACATTAGTCTTATTTTGTTCACTTCATCTGTGCTTTACCGAGGTGGATAATATTTAATATTATTCCTTAGAAGAGCATTATGTGGAAGGATGAAGGAATAATGCTATTTCTAACACTGAGAATTACCTGATCAAAAGTTCAAGGGTACAGGAGCAGGTCGCCTTAGGCTGGCAGTGGTGAGGAGACTTTTGTTTTTCTCTATCTAGCACCTAGAGCAGATACTCAGGAAAGGTAATTAAATGAACTGCATGAAGAAATGAATGAATGAATGGTACTTAGCGAGAAGATGGTTCTGAAATACGAGAGATTTCCTCCTCCCTACTTCCCTTCTTCCTATTTTTCTTTTCTTTATTCCTCTATTGATGTATTTAATATGTCTGTGGAGTACCTACTAGGTACCAGCACTGTCAGGTGCTTACATTGTATAGTGTCCAAATTTTAAATCTATTTTATTTTTATTGGCTCCTTCAGACTTCTAATATGCCAACGTCTGTTTATTGATTTTATAAACTAGAAAGGAGTATGTTGTGGTGTTTCTGTCATTGGCATTTGGAATGTGATGGCACGTTTTTCCCTTCAGTCTTAGGCAGTGCGTGGCTCAGTGTGTTATCTCAGACAGCAGCTATCAGTGCAATTGGTCTTTATCCAACTG